CCCTCATTGTTATGGTCCCAGATTCTGCAAAGCGGCAAATGCCTGCAGACTCCAGACTGGAGAAATGTGATCAACAGGCAGGAATGTTAGCAGAGGACTCGGGGAGGAGCTAATCCATGTGGTGGGTGTAAAGTGACAGGTGACTCAGTGTCCCCATGAGGCAATTGCCAAGGAAGGAACACTGTGTTTGAGTTGGACACCTTGACGTCGGCCAGGTGAAACTTTCAATGAGTGAGATTTCCCGGGCCAGGCTGGGAGCAAGGCAGCAGCCATCATCAGAAACTGCTGTTGGCAACGTCCCTGCCACAGCCCTTTGGGTTTGGAATCTGCCTGCAGCCGTTCAAATTTTACACGTGCTCGTCCTTCCCCCAGCAGTGGGCGTCCATCTCCAGCTGGGGACATTACATGCCCTGTGGTCTGAATTGTGTACCCCTATTCCCATGACCTTGCAACCCCTCGGACTTGATTATGTGTCTGCCTTTGAGTTTTAGTCTTCCAGCAAGTCATTCAGTGGTGATGTGAATTCAGTGGTGTGGGTCTTGATCTAATCTGACCAGTGTCCTTAGAAGAGGAGGGGAGGACACGTGGCAGTGCAGAGGGGAGTCCATGTGACACACAGAGAGAAGACAGCCATCTACAAGCTGAGGAGCGACCCCCTCAGGCGATACCAGCCCCGCTGACGGCACCATCTCGCACTTCTAGCCTCTGGAATTGTGAGAAAATGAATGTCTGCTGTTAACACCACCCAGGGTGGTCCTATGTTATGGCAGCGCAAGCAAGCAACCTAATACAGTCCATTCCGACACACATCAGTGTTCCGGGCAGCACTGCTGACATGGCAGCTGAACTGCATTAGGCCCATGTCCGACAGCACTGAAGGCTGCTTTGCTGGCCAAAGGACCTCCGTTATTGGGCCAGGCCTGCAAGGACAGTGGAGCTGAGTGCTCTAGAGGATTCTGGCAAGGGTAGTTTAAACAACAAAAACAGCAATAGGCAAAAGTGCTCCTGGTCTACTATGAAATAAAACAATATTATTTCACTCTAATATTTCCCCAGATACGTGAGGAGCGTCTTTCTACTCTCTCATGTAACTGGAGGGAAGAGTGGAGGCCCGGATTCCTCTGTCATGGGGCTAAGGCACCCTTAGGGGCCATGCGAGGGGCTCTTAGGGTCCCCAGATTTGAGTCTAGGTTCTGGGCACTGCCAGGTTGTCTCGGGTTTGTGGGTGTAGAGACCATCAAGACCAGTTCTCACCTGAGTCCGGCCCTGGATGGTGTCTGTGGCCTGATGCACCTTCCCCGGGTCGAGGAAGGTCGAGTAGTTGAACCCGCTGACAAGTCCTTCCGTGATGTGCCGCTTGGAGATCTACAAAGACAGAGCCCGATACCGGGCCAGGAGGCTTCAGGAACCTTCCATCCAATCTGGGGCTCTACCCCATGGCAGGCCTGGCAAACTGAGACAGTCTGTTAGGACACAGTGGGGGTGTTCCGGCAGCCAAAGGTCACCCACCGTTTGGGAGGTTGGGCCCCTGGGATCTGGTGGGAGGATGAGGGTCAGACCGGGTTCTGGAGGAGGTGCTGTCCCCTGACCCCGCCACCGCAGGTCGGAGCCCTCAGCCCGCCACGTGGTCGTCTGTAACCGGCAACCAGAGGCGGGGGGGGGGGGCGGGGGCTCCCACGGCGTCGGAAACCGCACGTCCACCGGTCCCACGGTCTCAGTGTTGCCACGTGACTGCAGGGCGGGTGTTATGCCACTACTTTCTGAAGCCTGTTTTGCTAAACCAACCTGATACCATGTGAGCACCTTAAACTCTGAAATTAACCGCAAGGACAGCTCTCCTCTGCGCCCTCCGGGACCCCCAGTTCTGTTGCCTCCGCTCCTTGCAAAGGGCAGTTTCTAGTTCTTGGCCACGTGGGGTGTTGCTGACTTTTCATTCTAGGCTTGCACGTGGCCATCCTGAATTCTGTGAGGATGGGGACTCTGTTCTACGGCAAGCCTGCGAGCGAGTAATCATCCCCACTTTACATCTACTCTCAGACTGCAGTGACATTTCCCCAAGCGGGCCTGGATCCTATAAACCAATCCCCGCGCTCCACTACACTGAACAAGAGTGAGGATCGGAGCTCACCTTTCACAGGAGGAGCCGCTGGGCTCCTTCAGAGCCACACACAGTGATGCCACTGGCCCAGTGGCCATGCTGTTTGTGTACTTTTTTTCTTCAAGTATAATTTAAAGTGACAACAAGCGCCCACCTCAGTTTTCACACTGAACACTCCCCCACGTCACTCACCCAATTAGGATTCAGAACATGATAAGCACCCCAGCAGTCTCTCCTCTAGGCCAGTGGTTCTCAAACTTGGCTGCACATTAGAATCACCTGGGAATCTTTTTAAAATCCTGATTTCTGGGCCTCAACATTAGTAACAAAGAAACAGAATTTCCAGAGGATGAGGCCCAGAAATTAGGATTTTAAAAAGATTCCCAGGTGATTCTAATGTGCAGCCAAGGTTGAGAACCACTGCTCTAGGCCCTACCCAGTCCACCCCCCTCACACCAAAAGTAAACACGACCCCAATTGCTCACAAAACCTGGCTTTGCCTTTTGAACTGTGCGATGGGATCATCCGTGTGTCCTGGCAGCATGTCGGGCTTTTCCCTCAACATGTTCGTGAGATGCACCTGTATCGCTGTGTGTAGTTGTAGTTTGTGATGGACTCAGACTCATTCCTTGTGCTGTTGCTGGACAGTGGGTAGTTTCCAGGTTAGGGCTACTACAACCTAGTGCTACTATTTACAAATGTACATACTGGGAACACATGTGCTCAATGCTGGCCACACGGCATGTTATATGTTCGGGTTTAGTAGATACTGCCTGTTTTCCCACACTTGTCCTGATTTATTCTCAACCAGCAGGGTATGGGTTTTCGTTCATGTCCTGGTCAACAGTGGGTACCATCTGCTTTTTACAGCTCATGTCATTATTTTAAATTAATTTCTCCAGTATGGCTCATAATACTTAAGTTCGCTTGAATAGCAGGACATTTCCATTAAAATGTTTGTAATCAATGAGAAAGTGGTAAATGCTATATTTTAAAATGGATTACTAAATCACTACTTCTAAGTAATCTTGTAAGAGGTAAGCAAAAAGAAAAAATAATTACACTGACAATCCATTTATGAAATCCTTATTTTAAATGTCTATAAATAAATTAGGAAAAATTTTTCTGTATCTGATTTATAGGGATATATATATATATATATATATATATTTGGCTTCATAGTTATTTTGGAAACATTTGGAGGCTGTCATAGAAAATTTT